CACACCTGTAATCCCAGTTACTCAAGAGGCTGAGGCAGGAGAATTGCTTGAATCAGGGAGGTGGAGGTTGCAGTGAGCCGAGATTGCCCCACTGTCCTCCAGCTTGGGCGACAGAGAGAGACTCCATTAAAAAAAAAAAAAAAATCCTATCAGATCACATCACAGCCTGCACGTGGAAGAAAGCCCGAGCTCCCCACTCCCAGGCGCTGCCCCACACTCCTTGCTCCCCACCATCTGGCCACACTGGTCTCCTCTCTGTCACACCAACTTTCCAAGACCTCCCCTGCCACCAGGCCTGTGCAAATGCGGGGTCCTGCTGCCCGGCGCCTCTCCAATCTTTGCCCCGTGGCTCCTTCTTGTTAGCAGCGGCACCTCCTCAGAGAAGCCCTCTCTGCCCCGACCACTGTATCTGAAATACCAGCCCCCAGAGCCCATCAGAGCACTCTGTCCTCTCCAAGAGTTACTTGACTTCCTTCTGTCCCCCGGTGAGACGGTGGCTCCCGAGGTGTGGGACTCCCTCTGCCTCATTCTACACCAGATCCACAGTGCCTAGCACAACACAAGGGTTGCAGCCTGATCCTGGGAACACCCATGAATGAATGCATGCGTGGAAGATGGCAGGGGTCACTGCTGGCCATGCTGTGTTTCAGGTTGGGTTGTGATCCCGTGGGCCGTGGTGTGACCTCTGGCCATGTCCTGCAGATGAAACTGCTGCCCTTCCGGCAGAAGAAGGCCCACATCATGGAGATCCAGTTGAACGGTGGCACGGTGGCCGAGAAGGTGGCCTGGGCCCAGGCCCGGCTGGAGAAGCAGGTGCCCGTGCATAGCGTGTTCAGCCAGAGTGAGGTCATTGATGTCATTGCTGTCACTAAGGGTCGAGGTGTCAAAGGTAGGGCTCAGTGGGGATGGCAGCTTCAGGGCAGGCTTCCTGGAGGCAGTGGGGACCAGCCTGGCCTCTCAGCCACCAGCCCTTCCCACTCACAGGGGTCACAAGCCGCTGGCATACCAAGAAGCTGCCGAGGAAGACCCATAAGGGCCTGCGCAAGGTGGCCTGCATTGGCGCCTGGCACCCCGCCCGCGTGGGCTGCTCCATTGCTCGGGCCGGGCAGAAGGGCTATCACCACCGCACGGAGCTCAACAAGAAGGTGCGTCCTCAGGCGGGGTAGTGGGACACTGTGTGGTCGGACCCCAGCCCTCAGTACTGGCCTCAGTGGGTGGGGTGCATGACCCAGACACTGCCGGGGTCACGAGATGCCCACACCAGCGCTGAGTCTGAGCACGTGGGCCGATGGACCTGGATGGGCTGCTGGCCTCTGCGGCCACTTCCTGCCCCGGCATATGCCCCCTTCTCCTGGCAGATCTACCGCATCGGCAGGGGGCTGCACATGGAGGACGGGAAGCTGGTGAAGAACAATGCATCCACCAGCTACGACGTGACTGCCAAGTCCATCACACCACTGGTGAGGCCGGGAGGGGGCGACCGCCAGGCCCATCACATCGCTGGTGAGGGCTGGAGTGGGGTCAGGCTGGCCAAGGGAGCTTGGTATACATATAGGGGGCATGCTGCAGCCCCAGTTGGATGCTCCCTGCCCCAGGGGCTCAAGATTTGTGCCCCACAGCTGGACGCTGCCCCCCTAGGCACACTGGACAGAAGACTTTGACAGCTGGGCAGTGATGTGGGACCCTTGCCTCATTTGTCCAAAACATTTCGATGTAGTCACAAGCACGAAATCCGCGCTGCGTCCCACATCCTCCGAGCCTCCTGTGGAGGCAGCTTCCCCTCTAGCTGCTGTCATGCGGGTGTGGAGTGCAGCAGCTTCTACTGTGGCCTGGCAGTCAGGCCACCTGGGCTCAAGCCACATCTCCAGGACTTAGCAGCTGTGGAGCTTGGAGCAACTGACTCTGCTCCTCTGATCCTCAGTCTCCCCCAACAAAAATCCAGACTGTTAAGTGAGATAATGCATGGAAAAGGACTTAGCTTGTGAGTCAGAAGCTGCCCTCAGTGGGGGCCACATGATAGTCACCCCGACACCTGGGGGCGGGGCACGGGGCTCCGGCCTGTCACAGCCCCTGTGGGGATTCTCCTAGGACCCCCAGCTGTCCGCTAACTCGGAAGCCCTTTCCGGGCCTGGCCCCTGACCTGTGTCCTCTGCAGGGTGGTTTCCCGCACTACGGGGAAGTGAACAACGACTTCGTCATGCTGAAGGGGTGTATTGCTGGTACCAAGAAGCGGGTCATTACGCTGAGAAAGGTGGGCAGTGCTGGGTGGGCTGGGGAGTGGGTGCCTGAGGGCTGCCAGCCTGTCCTGCCCCGGGGCCTGCCACGAGGGGCATGGAGTGGTGGGAGCAGAAAGGGAGGGCTCTGGTAGGAACTAGGTGAGCAAGACCTTCCTGGTAGGGCTTGGAGGTCACAGCAGGGTGTGGGGGATCCCCGCCCTTGATGTCTACTTTACCACGAATTCCCCAGTCCCTCCTGGTGCACCACAGCCGCCAGGCCGTGGAGAATATTGAGCTCAAGTTCATCGACACCACCTCCAAGTTCGGCCATGGCCGCTTCCAGACAGCCGAAGAGAAGAGGGCCTTCATGGTGAGCTCACCACCCCCATCCTTGTTCTTCTCTGGGGCTCCGGCTCCACATCCAGCCTGCCCGAGTAGGGAGCTGGAGCTGGCAGGGACTTCCCTGAGCTCACCTGCAGGAAAGACTCTTTTTTTTTTTTTTTTTGAGACGGAGTCTCGCTCTGTCGCCCGGGCTGGAGCGCAGTGGCGCGATCTCAGCTCACTGCAAGCTCCGCCTCCTGGGTTCACGCCATTCTCCTGCCTCAGCCTCCCGAGTAGCTGGGACTACAGGCGCCCGCCACCTCGCCCAGCTAGTTTTTTGCATTTTTTAGTAGAGACGGGGTTTCACCGTGTTAGCCAGGATGGTCTCGATCTCCTGACCTCGTGATCCGCCCGTCTCGGCCTCCCAAAGTGCTGAGATTACAGGCTTGAGCCACTGCGCCCGGCCTCTTTTTTTTTTTTTTTTTTGAGACAGAGTCTCGCTCTGTCACCCAGGCTGGAGTGCAGTGCCACGATCTCGGCTCACTGCCACCTCCGTCTCCCGGGTTCAAGCGATTCTCCTGACTCAGCCTCCCAAGTCGTTGGGACTACAGGCATGTGCCACCACACCAGGCTAATTTTCTGTATTTTTAGTAGAGATGGGGTTTCACCATGTTAGCCAGGATGGTCTCTATCTCCTGACCTCATGATCCAACCGCCTCGACCTCCCAAAGTGCTGGGATTACAGGCGTGAGCCACCGCGCCTGGCCTGCAGGAGAGACTCTTAAGGGTCTATCCCTGGGCACTGATTCTTTAGAAGAGAAGGTGGGGGAGGAAGCAGCCTTGGGAGGGCAGCAGCAGCAGGGCTGGCTCTGAGTGATCTAGGGCCTGGCTGGAGGAGGGGGTGTTTCTGGCCAGACTCTTGTGACTAAGGCTCCTCCTGCACCACCCCCTCAACCAGGGCCCCCAAAAGAAGCATCTGGAGAAGGAAAAACCGGAGACCTCGGGAGACTTGTAGGCTGCGTGGGGTGGATGAGCCCTGAAGCGCACGGCACCGTCTGCCCCAATGTCTAATAAAGGCCGGAGGCGACTCTTCCTATGGTGTCTCGGAGCGCTGAGTAACCGCCCAAGGGGTTCACCTTGCCTGCTGCCTAGACAAAGCTGATTCATTAAGACAGGGGAATTGCAATAGAGAAAGAGTAATTCACGCAGAGCTGGTGTGTGGGAGACCGGAGTTTTATGTTTTATGATTACTCAAATTGATCTCTTTGAGCATTTGGGGAGCAGAGGTTTTTTTTTTTTTTTTTTTGAGACAAAGTCTTGCTCTTGTCGCCCAGGCTGTTGGAGTGCCGGGAGCAGAGTTTTTAAGGATAACTTGGTGGGTTGGGGGAAGCCAGTGAGCCAGGAGTACTGATTGGTCAGGGATGAAATCAGAGGGAGTCGAAGCTGTCTTCTTGCGCTCGGTCAGTTCCTGGGTGGGGTCGCAAGATCACAGGAGCCAGTTTATGGATCTGGGTGGTGCCAGCTGATCCATTAAGTGCAGGGTCGGCAAAATATCTCAAGCACTGATCTTAGGAGCAGTTTAGGGAGGGTCAGAATCTTGTAGCCTCCAGATGCATGACTCCTAAACCATAATTTCTAATATTGTGGCTAATGTTAGTCCTATATCTAGTCCCCAGGCAAGAAGGAGGTCTGCTTTGGGAAAGGGCCGTTACTGTCTTTGTTTTAAACTATAAATTATAAACTGGCTGGGCGCGGTGGCTCACGCTTGTAACCCCAGCACTTTAGGAAGCCAAGGCAGGAAGATCACCTGAGGTCAGGAGTTCAAGACCAGCCTGGCCAACATGGAGAAACCCCTTCTCTACTAAAAATACAAAATTACAAAATTAGCTGGGCATGGTAGCACATGCCTGTAATCCCATCTACTCGGGAGGCCGAGGCAGGAGAATTGCTTGAACCAGGGAGTTGGAGGTTGCAGTGAGCCGAGATCGCGCCATTGCACTCCAGCCTAGAGACAGAGCAAGACTCCATCTCATAAAAGAAAGAAAAAAAAGAAAGAAAAAACAAAAAAACCATATACTGAGTTTCTCCCAAAGTTATTTCAGCCTACCACCAGGGATGAACAAGGACAGCTTGGAAGTTAGAAGCAAGATAGAGTCGGCTACGTTAGATCTCTTTCACTGTCTCAGTCATAATTTTGCAAAGGCGGTTTCAGCTGGGCGCGGAAAGGCTGACCTCCAGCGTCTCCGGGCTTAGCACCAGGGACTGGACTGGGGGAACACGGCACTACGGGTGCGCGCCGCCGCCCACCTGGCCAGGCCCCACATGCACCCCTAGCTACCAGGGCGCGCGAGACGGCAGGGACGGGGCCTTGGGGAAGCGGCCCAGGGGTCGTCCCTCGGAGTTTCCATGGGCGGGGCCTGCTGGGGAGATGCGATTGGACCGGCCATAGCGAGGGGCGGGGCCTACAGAAAGCGGGCCAAGAGGGATCCCTGGAAGTTACTGATGGGCGGGGCCTGCTGGGAAGACGGGACTGGACTAGCACCCTCGGGGGCGGAGCCTTGGGGAAGTGATCCAGGAGTGGTCCCTGGGAGTCACCGACGGGCGGAGCCTGCTGGGAAGATCGGATTGGACCGGCCCTCAGGAGGGGCGGGGCCTCCCGAAGGCGGAAGCCGGGATTCGCACTCCGGGGAGCTATTGGTCCTCGGGAGGGGCGGGGAGGCGGACGCGGGTCCCGGCGGTCGTCCGGTCGGCAGCCTTGGGTCAGTTGGCTGCGGCAAGTGCGCTGCGGTTCCAGCGGCGCCATGTCGTTCTGCAGCTTCTTCGGGGGCGAGGTTTTCCAGAATCACTTTGAGCCCGGTTGGTCCTGCGGCCTCTCGCTGGGAGGGCAGCGCGGCGGGGGGCGCGCATTAGAAGGGGCGCCGCCGTCCTCCGGGGGTGATGTCTCTCCCAAGGCGGGAACGGGGGCGAATGTGGCTGCCGGGGAGAAGCGAACATGGGTCAAGAGGACTGCGGAGGAGTGGGGAGCCTGGGGGCGAGGAGAGTGGGGTACCCGAGGAGAGGGGACTTGGGGGCTCACCGTCCTGGAAAAGGCAGGCCTTGAGTGTGAACGTGCCGTTTCGGGGGGACTCTAAGGGGTCGGGATACGTGGGGGTGGTACCCCTTCCCTGCCCTCTTCACTCCAAAGTGATGGCGCTGGGGGAATTCGGGTTAGGGTCGAGGCTTCGGAGAGGCCAAGTTCTTGTCCAGGGCCAGCGTCTGTGGCCAGGGCGCCCCTTCGCGGGTTATCCCGCAGGTGTTACCGTGGCCCTTCCCATTCCCGGAGTCCGGGATCTCTGGGAGGAGTCCAGCAAGCATAGAATGTCCCCTTCAGATCCTAATGTGCCGGCCCAGGTGCCTCCCCACCTGCCCAGGGACTCCAGACTGGGAAAACAGGAGTGCCACCAGGCCTCTGCCAACAACCAGTTAAGTTTGACCAGGCAGACAGGATGGGGTGGTTTGGGGCATGACCAGCCCTCCACACTCGCCCTGATGAGTCCCCTTCTGGGCTGGGCTCGCCTGGCAGTGGACTAATTTGGTAAAAAACACATCCACAGGCAAGTCTGAGTGCATTGGTCTTCCTTGGGCGGATTTGCTGCGTGTCACCCCTGTAGGGGGCTGGACTGTGACACAGGACCATCCCGGCAAAGCCTCCCCCAACAAGACTCTCTGGCTGTGGACCCCTGTTGTCCTCAGGCTGCTCTGCCAAGCCAGAAACTCCACTTCCACGGCAGCTACTGGCTCCTCTTTGCTTTCTTCTCCAGTTCCTGGGAAAGGCTGGGTAGTCTACAGTTTCCAGGGGAGGCTGTCCCCAGGTGATGGGTGAGAGGTGACTCAGCACCCTGGGAGGTTCCTGTTTTCAGTCCTTCAAACAGTTCTGCAAATCAGTTTTGCAACTTTCCCACCCCCTCCACTCTAAAGTGATCCTTTGTGGGTAGGCTGAAATCTGTCATCCCCAGCCCTCTTTTTTCCTGGGCTCCTGTGTGGCCTGGAGGCCTTTTCTCTGGGACTGTTCTCTTTTTGCCTGGAGAGCAGGGCAGTGCCTGGGTGTCCAGCTTAGGGCCTTGTTGGGCAGCAGGGAGGGCCACTTGAGAAGGGAGAGGGACCAGGTGGTGGGGCCACATCAGGGCCCCTGCCGTGTATGACCCTGGGGGAACTAGGGGAGCAAGGGGGAGCTCCCTGTCCTTATGGGACTGCCCAGGCTCCTTCACACTGCACATGCTGTAGCTGGGTGTCTTTGCATCAGCAAGCAAAGATGGAAATGTTAGGAGATGCCCCATCACAGGGCTATGAGAAGAATCAAGGGGATGATTGTGAAAGGTGAATCCTCTGGTCTCTGGCACATGTACTAAACGTGAGCTTAGCACAGCGCCTCCCATGGCAGGTGCATGGGGAAGGAGCACAGCCCACCCTCGGAACGGGACAGCGCTGTCTTTGCCTGGGTCTGTGGATTTGGGAGCTTGAGCCCCGAAAGGCTGGAGCTGAGGACTCTACATTTGTCTCTCCTTCCACCACAGGCGTTTATGTATGTGCCAAGTGTGGCTATGAGCTGTTCTCCAGCCGCTCGAAGTACGCACACTCGTCCCCATGGCCGGCATTCACTGAGACCATTCACGCCGACAGCGTGGCCAAGCGTCCGGAGCACAATCGACCTGGAGCCTTGAAGGTGAGGGCCCACGGGGGTGGGGGAGGGATGGGGGCGGCCAGGGAGAGCAGAGAGCCAGTCCCACCTTCCTCCCTCTGCTTGCCCCGCAGCTCCAGGGGCTTAGAGCTGTCTGCTCCAGGCCTGTGGCCTCCGCCAGGGAGCTGCCACCCCAGGCTATCGGGAGAGACTGGCCTTCTGGTGCAAATGTGGGAAACAGGACAGGTTTCCTGTACGGGCTCCAGGACAAAGGTCAACCTCTTATGTCGGCGGTCAGCTTGGGAAATGGGCATGTGGGAAGGCCCCCAGTAAGGGCCTTCACTGCGGCTGTTTCATGGCCAAGAAGCTCACGCAGCTGCCTTGTGATCTTTCCAGGTGTCCTGTGGCAAGTGTGGCAACGGGTTGGGCCACGAGTTCCTGAACGATGGCCCCAAGCCGGGGCAGTCCCGATTCTGAATATTCAGCAGCTCGCTGAAGTTTGTCCCTAAAGGTGAGCTTGCTTTACACAGCTGGGGCCAGGCCTGTTGGCCTTTGAGCCCAGGCTGGGGGCCCAGTGTTTGTGCCCGTCCACTTACCATGACAAGGTATGCGGGGCCACCAAGTCACGCTGCCTGGGAACTGTCCAGGATCCCTCCAAAAGGTGGCTGCAGCACAGGGGCAAAGGCTGGTATTCCGCTTCCTCGCTTGGTTGATCATGACTGTCCCAAAAAGGGACTTTGGAGTGAGACCGTGGCAAATGGTTTTCCTCAGAGGCCTGGCCTTTCCCTGAGGCTAGAGTCAGGGGCGGGTCAGGCAGAGCCTGAGGCCCCAGTCTGTGCAGCCGTCTCCCACTGGCTGGGACTGGGGCCTTGCTTCTCAGCCACTCAGAGCCTGCCTTCTCCTCTGCAGAGTGGCCGTGGCAGCAGGGCCAGTGAGGACAGCTGCGTGTCATGTGCACCTGGGCCTGGCACACAATAATAGGTTGATGAATCCTCATTCTTTTTTTCTGTTTTTGAGATGTAGTTTTTTTTTTTTTTTTTTTTTTTGAGACAGAGTCTTTGTTCTGTCGCCCAGGCTGGAGTGCTGTTTTTTGACTTTTAACAGTAACCATTCTGACTGGTGTAAAATGGTATCTCATTGTGGTTTTGATTTGTATTACTTTAATGATCAGTGATGTTGGCTTTTTCTCATATGTTTGTTGGCCGCATGTATGTCTTTTTTGGAAAAGTATCTGTTCAAGTCCTTTGTCCACTTTCTAATGGAGTTGTTTGGTTTTTTCTTGTAAATTTGTTTAAGTTCCTTATAGATGCTCGATATTAGACATTTGTCAGATGAATAGACTGCAAAAATGTTCTCCCATTCTGTAGATTGTCTGTTTACTCTGTTGATAGTTTATTTTGCTGTGCAGAAGCTCTTTAGTTTATTTATTTATTCATTT